TAGCTCCTCCACAGGAGCCCTGATAGCATCTCCACTATGTGTTGGGCAGCTACAAGCCAGGTCGACAGTTCAAACCCACCTGCCACTTCCTGGGAAAAAGATAGGTTTTCCACTCGGACACAAAGCTACATTCTTGGAAACCCACAGTGGCCGTTCAACGCTGTGCTACAAGGCCACTATGAGAATCGACGGATGGCAGTGAGTTTATTATTTGTTGTTTATTCTATCAGTCTTTCCTACAACAGGTCATTTCTCCAATGCAGCTGCACTCCACACCAACTTTCCCCACTGGGATTGCTGACACCGGGTGCTCTGTTACGGGACGACGGCGAAGAAGGGAGATGGTGTTCGATAGCAAAGGGACATCATCTGGGGTCCTAAGGGCGTGTCCTCCAACCAGCAACCACAGGGAGCCATGAACCAGTCCACACAGAAGAAAGCACACGATCTAAGAAGGTGACTTTTCAATAAAATCCTTCCCCAGGAGGGAGGACGCATGGGAGTCGAGACTTGGAGGCACGCGACGTGTGTGATGGAAAAGTCTTAAAATCAGAGACTCCCCCGCCCGCTCGCTCCATTCTGGAGTCCGGACACGAATCTGAAATCCACGGCAGCTCCCAAAGACAGCCTCTTCCGACAGACAGCCTGTTGCTTGGCCTCCACTGAAGTTTGGCCAGAAGACGTGATTTTAAACAAATCCATATCGCGTTCACTTCAGGACAGCACTGTTAACTGCCTGATTTCGGTAAAAAACGACCTTGTAAATTGTAGGGTGATCCAAGAAGTAGACCCTGGAAATGCTCTTTTAACTCCTGCCCGACCCCCCAAGTTACGACCGGGGTGAAAAATGATCCTCGCTGTCTGTCTGACCTATCTCCCCAAGCATCTTCTGGACGTTGTCGTATTTAGCATGTTTATTTTATTTTTAAAACAGTTTTATTGGCCTTCAGATTCCACACATCCTACAATTGAACAACTCCCTCCTATTCATAAGAGCTGGACGGCCATCTCCACCGTCCACTTCCGGACACTTCCTGTGCCGCATTAACGATTTTTTACCGACTTCAGTGGGAGCAGCTCACAGGCGTGCTTGATGGCAGAAAAGCAACCCGCTACCCCCGCCCCTCTTTCTGGGTTAAACAGATCGACCTGCCATAACCTGAGTCCTGAGGCCTATTGAAAGAGGCCTTAATTCTCAGTGGGTGGGTGGGTGGGGATTGTGAGCCTGACTGCAGCCACCTAGTGAAGCTGCAGAGAAAATGAGGCACATGGGACTCTGGACAATGACGGGAAGGCGAGGCGTTTGATGCAGTGGCCCGGAGGACTTGCCTGAATCACGTCCAGACGTTTGGTAGAAGGAAGAACCAGTGAGCGCTGACAGCTGGACATCTGACCGATGGAGACTTCCAAACAAAGTCTTCAAGGGGCTGCATAGTTTCACCTTGCCATAAGAAGAAGCAAGAGGAGACGGGTTTAAACAGGCGCTGCGTACAATGAAAACAAAACTCAATAATTTGGAAAGTTCTGCTGTACAAACTAAGGGCACGTGTCTAAGAATTCTCATGAGCGGCATGGTCACGTAACCATTTGTTGGAGAGATGAAGCCGATCACTGGATGGATCTAAGCCATGACCACACCAGACACATTTCCAGCCCGTTGGGCATGGGGTCACTCCCATGCGTTGGGGTGCACTCACAGAAGCTCACAATTGGTACCCTGCTTCTGACTGGGGACTCTGTCAGGGAGAAGACATTGCCCTAAATGCAGTGCCATGAACCGGTAGCCAGGTTTACCATTGCTGGGACCAAGAGGCCTGGCTGGGACCATCTCAGGGGCTCTCCATTTACAGGTGGAGACGGCTTTACAAGCAAGGTGGCTTCTGCCCCCACCTATGTGGTCTAGTCTCTCACATGGGACCTGCTGTTCAGGCCACCGATGAGTCCAGGGGTCGTGGCAAAATCTTCTCACGTGGAAGAAACACAGGTGACAGGGCCTTGCTGTTTCCTGCCCCACCCGTTTCCCAAGGAAGCCAGTGACAAGTGCGTCACTGAGGCCAGATGGGCTTAGCTGACCGATGACGCTTACGGTCACCGAGAGTGACATTGCAGTGGCCACTGAGAGACCGACAAAAGCCATGGACCATGCCTGTCTGGTTCAAGCTTGTGACCTTGGGGGCAACCACCACCACCACCACTGCCATCGAGTTGATTCTGGCCCATGGTGACCCTGTGGGTCAGAGGGCTTCTATGGGAGCCGATAGCCCCCTCTTCCCCCAGGAGTGACCTTGTGGTGAGCAGCCCGACAGGAGGGACCCCACTATGTCACCAAGGCTCCCTGTCCTTGGGGGCATATGGTAAATATTTGTTAAGAAAGAGGAAAGGGCAATCTCTCTTTTATAAATACTTTTATTGGGGGTTCTTATAGCTCTTACCACAATCCATGTATCCATTGTATCAAGCACACATGTACCTATGTTGCCATCATCATTTTCAAAACAGTTTCTTTCTACTTAAGCCCTTGGTATCAGCTCTTCTTTCCCCCCCTCCCAACACTACCCACCACCCTCCTGACCCCCAGATAAATTATAAATTATTATTTTTATATGTTACACAGTCCACTGTCTCCCTTCACCCATGTTTCTGTTGTTCGTCCCCTTCGGGGTGGGTGTGGGTGGGTTATACATCCATCATTGCGATCGGTTCCCCCTTTCTTCCCCGTCTCCCCACACCTTCCCTCTACCCTTGTGGTATCACTACTCCCATGATTGTTCCTGAGGCGTTTATCTGTCCTGGATTCCGTGTGCTGAGAGCTCTTATCTGTACCAATGTGCATACTCTGGTCTAGCCGGATCTGTAAGATAGAACTGGGGTCATGATAGTGGGGGAGAGGAAGCATTAAAGAACTAGAGGAATGTTGTACGTTTTGTCATTGCTATACTGCACCCTGGCCGGCTCGTCCCTTCCCTGTGAACCTTCTGTGAGGGGATGTGCAGATAGGCTTTGGGTCTCTACTCTGACCTGCCATGTTTGCATTGATATGATTCTATGTTTGGGGGTCTTCTGATGGACAGGACAACCTCTTCAGAAAAAGACCATGTGTGCCAGTGTAAGAATTTTGTCAATAATTTCAGGGTCTTACCCCATGTCCTTGTAAGACCTTGAGACAAAGTCCTTGAACTTAAAAGCAAACACAGAAAGCCAACAAGCACACCTGACTCAATCCCAGGTCCTCCATGCCTATATGTGGCACAGTTATACGTGGCACAGTTATACGTGGCACAGTTATACGTGGCACAGTTATACGTGGCACAGTTATATGTGGCACAGTTAAAAACACCAGCGCCTGAGGTCCTTGGCCACTGTAGAGCGAGCCTGGCGCCTCTCAGCCCTGTGCAGGTTGGAGTAATGAGCACACACAGGACAGCTTTTGGTTTTTCCTTTAAGGAAGAAATCCTAAGCAACTGGGATGGAGCTCCATGAGCGGGGACGTTTTCTAGGAATTGGGCCCCAAGTGTGTTTGGGACCAGGCGAGAGAGGCACTTCTGGGCAGGGCATGGGCAGCCCACCTCTCGGTCAGCCGTTTAAATCCACCTGCCCCTCTGTGGGAGAAAGATGGAGGTGCCTGCTCCTGGCGAGACGTGGAAACCTACGTAGGGTCACGTTTGTCTTTTGGCTAAGTGGATGAGGAGGTTGTGGTGCAGCTGTTAAGCACTCCACTGTTAGCAGAAAGGTCCATGGTTGGGACCCACCAGCCACCTCTCGGGAGAAGGACCTTCTGTGAAGATGACCGCAGCCGGGGCTTCTGTCTGCCCTCTAGGGCCGAGATGGGTCGGAATTGACCTGCCGGCACTGGGTTGAGTGGAAACAAAGAGACAAGTAAGTCTGAGTGGCTCAAATGGCTGGGCCTCAGCTGTCAACCCAAGGCCTGGTGTTCGTACCCACCCGGCGGGCCATGCAGGAAAGGGCCAGAGATCTGCGGGCCGTCTTTCTTTTTTCTCATCTGCTTATGCCAACCCCGAGCACCCCGGTGGTGGGATGGGCACCGAGCTGCCCTGCTAACTGCAAGGTTAGTCGTTCAAAACCACCCTCGGCAGGCGGAAGATGAGGCAGTCCGCTCCTGGAAAGATTCACAGTCTCGGAAACCCACCTGGGCACTTCTCCTCTGTCCCGTAGGGCCCCTGGGAGTCGGAACCGCCTCGATGGCCGGGAGTTGGCGTGTTTGTTTTCTGGCTTACTGGAAACTGCTGACGTCTCTTGTCTTGGCTCTGGCCATCTTCGACCTTTACAATCAGAGGGACTCCACATCCCTTGGGCTTGGTACCAGGCTTCGTAAGAGCGTGCCCTCGGTGTGCTTCATAGTTGTGGCCACCTTTCATGGACGTGTCCCCTGAAGGACTGCTCGCCCTCCCTGAGATGGCCAAGACGAGCCTGCGTGCTTTGTTCCCGCCACATTCCCGTCTGAAAACCCACCTGGTCCAGGTCCACTGCCGGCCTTGTCTCAGTTTGTTGGCAGGGCAGGCGCCTTCCTGTCTGAGGCCGATGGTGTCCTCCCCTTCTCTGGGAACCCTCAAGGTGACCGCTTGGAGGGGGTTCTTGGTTGAAGAGGAGTCCCCGGGACCCACCACCTCATTTAGTGCATCTTCAGTCTTTGTTTATCTCCCCTCCCTCTCTGCCCTCTCCTCTCGGCTCCTCCCTCCCTCCCTCCCTCCCTCTCCTCCTTCCTCCTCCTTCCATGATCTGCTTCTGTAAAGGTGATCGCAGTCCTGCACGCTCCTGCGTGGTTACCACGCGTGTGCAGCTCTCCATGTATGGGTCAGGTGGAAAAGACCCGCTCATGTAGCAACGCGGCAGACGTCTCTTCCGCTGGCTAGCCAGCCCCTCAGCGGAAAGAGAATCCTGCTTTGCAGCTGTTGGGATTTTTGAGTTCCTTTCTTCATCAAAATGCTTGTTGGTGCCTGATAACCCTCTTCGCGTGTGTGTGTCTGTGTGCGTGTGTGCAGAACTCAGTCAGATCGCCTCTCAAGACGTCAAACGTCGAGAAAGTGACCAACCGGCAGATCCTGCTCCTCTTCTTCCTGCTCCTGGCCATGGCCTTGGTGAGCTGTGTGGGGGCGGTGCTCTGGAGCAGCAGCTACGAGGACGCCTGGTACACCAGGACGAACGGTAAGGGCAAGGCTGTCATCGACAAGGGCCTTTCTCAGGAAGCGACTGGCCGAAGGGTCGCAGAGCAGATCCGTTTCCCACCCAACAAGGCGTACACACCTTGTTTCACGGCCCCTCCCGGTCACACCACTCATCCCTTGTCCTCCCTGGGTGCCCTGTTTCTGTTCCCCCGTCTTGCTTTCTCAGCACTGTCCTGGGATGCAGGGGGACCCTTTGACCTCAGACATTAAAGACTGGCTGAGGTCTCTATGTGAAAGGATAACAATTGTGCACCTTTTTTTAAAAAAAAAACAAAGAACATGAAAATTAATGAGTTTTAGAAATGGAATGTACTCCTGTTAGGATTTTTTTTTAAAAGAATTTTCAGACAAATGACACATAATGACATTCCAGAGGAATGGGGATTAGTCAGCACATCAGCAGGAGCCTGAGTCAGGCGCACAAAGGTCCCAAAGTTTTTCCCTTATCTGAATCTTATTCCTCCCTGGGCTCTGGGGTGGCTCCCCAAACCACTGCTGACCACTCAGGGGGGGGCGGGGATCCCTTAGAACAGTGGTTCTCAACCTGTGGGTCCCGACCCCTTTTGGGGGGGGTCGAATGACCCTTTCACCAGGGTCACCTAAGACCATCAGAAAACACATTTTTCTGATGGTCTTAGGAACTGAGACACCGCTCCTCTATCCGTCTCCAGGTGGGTCCGCCCACATACGAGTTCCCGGCATGAAGACTCTTATCCATGCCACACCATGATTCAAGACAAAGTTTTGTTTGTTTGTCATGAGAAATCAGTATTTCACAATATATAATTGCATACTGTTTTTGTGATTTATCAGTATGTTTTAATGATGTTCAATTTGCAACGATGAAAATACATCCTGCATATCAGGTATTCGCGTAATGATTCATAACAGTTGCAAAATGACAGTGATGAGGTAGCAACCAAAGTATGTTATGGTTGGCGGGGGTCACCACCACATGAGGAACTGTATGAAAGGGTCGCAGCATGAGGAAGGCTGAGAACCACTGCCTTAGAAGGTCCTGGATAGAGTGGGAGAAAAATGTGAAACAGAACAAAAAACCTAAAAAAAGACCAGCCTTATTGGTCCATTAGAGACTGGGGGAGCCCTCAAGACCAAGGCCGTGAGTCACCCTTCAGCTCTGGGCCTGAACTCACTCCCGTGGCTCACTGGCTCATTGTTCAGCCAAACAAGTCTGTGGAAAAGGGAACAATAATCCCAGGAGGCTCGCACACCTGAGATCCAAAGGGCAGCATTTGCCCAAGGACAGAGCTTAGGTGAGTCAGGAGAGAAGGCGAAATGGAAACTGGAAACACAGGGAGGAAGTTGGGGGAGTGATGTTACTTTGTGAAGATTTCAATCAATGAGAGGAAACAAAATGTGTATGGATTACTGAATGGAAAACTGATCTTCCCTGTAAACCTCTACCCAATTCAAAAGCAAAAGCAAAAGAAGTGGCAAAGAAATAAAACAAAAATAAAAAAGGGGTTCAAGACACCATGTCGTGGTCATTTAGCAATGAAAAATGCAAAGGTGAACTACTGGTATTTATTAAAATTTCAGCATTTTCTGGTTTTTAGAATGCCTTTCCATGTGTTTAGAATAAACCATTATAATGTTTTTTGTCTTCCGATCTTTCCACTAAGGAGGTCTCTAGCTTTCTGTGAGAAGACCTGTTTGGCAGCATTGTAGGAAAAAGAAGCTAAGACTTAGACTTTGCAGACCTGTTCTGTTTGGTCATTGTTGCTGGGTCCCTTCCTGTTTATTGTCTTAGGGTCTTTTGTTTGTTTGTTTGGGTTTTTATAGGGACTTCAGGATGGGTGGCTGTATGGAGACAGTGACTGGGTTAATAATTACCTGGGGGCACAGGAGGGGGGGTTGCAGGGAAATGAGGAGTCAATGGCAAAAGTATAAGCAGGAAGGAAAATGTTAGAAATTGATTGGGGTGATGATTGCATAACTCTTCTTAATATGATTGAATTGTACGATATGTTCACTACATCTTAATAAGGCTTTAAAAAGATCAAGGGTCTATTTTTATGAAATATAGTGGGCTAAAAAAAAGAAGAAGCAATATAGTGGGGGTTATGCTTGTTTTGAGGAATGGTGGACTCATGGCTGAAGAATTTCTGGTAAACCCAGAACCATGACAACCACCCCCACTGAGAACGTCGACAAGGTGTTGAAGGGTCAAGTAGGAAAGGAATGGTTCAATAAAGTCTAGGGAAACCTCCTGGTAAGATGATGACGTGAACTGGACCATTGGGTTTGTTGACCAAGAATTCCTTCAGAGCCTTGAGCAACAGCGTTGGTAGACCGGGTGAGATGGGTGACAGATTCAGATGCACACAAAGTAGCTGGGAGGTCAAGATCCAGAAACAGGGTGGGTGAGAGCAAAAGGTAGCCTTTGTCCAAGGCCGGTTCCTTTTTAGGTGCTGTGATTCCTCTAATCTAGTTATCCTGAGTGTGTTTGGCCGGCTTTGACTACTGTGGGCTTTCTGTTTCGTTTTCAACTCTTTGTTTTGCTTTGCTTTTTAGTGCTTTATATCCATACTTAACCATTGTATTGGCCTAATTCACACATCACACAATTCAATAGTTCAATCATATTCTAAAGAGTTGTGCAATCAATATCATAGTCAATTCTAGAACATTTTCTTCTTCCTTGGGCTCATTGTGATTAGCTCCCCATTTCCCACACCAAGCTCCCCTGCCCTGCCCTGCCCCTCTCTCTGCCCCTCTCTCTGCCCCTCTCTCTGCCCCTCTCTCTGCCCCTCTCTGCCATCAAGTCAATTCTGACTCATAGGGAGCCTATGGGATCGGGTAGAATGCCCTTCAGGGTTTCTGAAACTAACAATTTACGTGAGTAGAAAGCCTGTCTTTCTCCTTCAGAGTGACTGATGGCTTTGAACTGCTGACCTTGCAATTACTAGCCCAACGTATAACCACTAGGCCACCAGGACTCCTTGCCTTACGCCCTAAGAAACTATTAATATAGTCACTACTCCTATAGATTTACCTTATCCCGGATTTCATATACCTAAAAACACAAAACAAAACAAAAAACCCCCCAACACCAACAATCACAAAATAAAACAGATACCTCCACCCCAAACAAGAACACATTTGAAATGGGTCAAACAGGAGATCAGACGATCAGATGTTAAATGTTACCCGACTGTGTGCGAGAAACCACTTCCCAACGCACTCTGTCTGCTACAAGGTGCTCGCATGCCTGGTCCGTGGTCAGAGGGATTCACCGGAGGCCTGATCCACGTGGAGATCCTGCATTAGATGTGGGGCTTCCACTGTCATCCATGGCTCTCTGCAAACAGGAGGCTCAGAGTTTAAGCGCAGGCAGATCATCAGTTTTACAGCCAGCAATTCTTACACATTTCATTTTATCTCACTCACTGAAATCCCCTCCAGGTATATCACTGATCCCACCTTCTCTCCAGGTCTTCCGATTCCACCCCTCCAGTTTCCTAATCTCGCTCAGCTCCATCCTTGCATCAGTGCTGCCCATTTGATCTCACAAGGTTGATTATCCCAAGGTCCGCACACCTCACAAGTGTTACTATTTTTCCTTTTATGCATCTGCCTATCATTTGGCTGAAAATTGAGCAAAGGGGCCATTCCGTTCCAGACCTAAAGGTTGACTACAGGTCATAGTTGTGTGGTTTCCACCAGTCTCTATCTGAGCCCTAAGCCCGGTCTCTTTTCTTCTCCCACTCTATCCAGGGCCTTCGACTGTGACCCTCCCCGGAGCAGTTGGTGGTGTTAGCCGGGCACCATCTAGCTCTCTGGTCTCAGAAGCCTCGATGCTGACGCTCAGTGCAGTCACGGGCCTATCATACCCTGATTGTCGGCTTATCTTCCAAGCTGCATCCTGAGCACTTCCTCTTCTTAGAGCTTGCATCTCTAATCTTTCTCGTCCTACCCATTCCATGGTTGCTGCCGAACAGATCTTTTCAAAGTCAATTTGGATTTGTGTTCACTTAACTGGAGGGGGCCCTGATGGCTTACCGATTCAGAGCGTGGCTGCTAAGTGAAAGGTTGGTGGTTTAAACCCACCCAGCTGCTCCGCAGGAGGAAAACACCTCACAGTCTGCTCGCGCCAAGACGACTTTTGCCAGGCGCCGCTGGACGAGCCCGTGCTCACGGTCACCGCCCGCACAGCGAGCAAATGTGCCTGGTTCTGCACCCGCCTCACAGCTGTTGCTCTGTGTCAAGCCCGTTGCTGCAGCCACTGCTGCAGCCACGCTGTCAATCCATCTTGCTGCGGGTCCCCTTTTTCTGAGGACCCTCCATGTTACCCGGCATGATGCCACTCTCCAGGCACCGGGCCCTCTTGATAACCCGTCCAAAGTATGTGACACGGGTTCTCCTCTCCTTGCTTCTGCAGGGGACGGCCTACAAAACCCTAGGGTACAGCTGTACCCTGCCACGTGGTGTCTCGAAAAAGTTGAAATTTGTCAGGACAGCACCTAAGAACCCCCACCATATTTTTAGTAGATTTTTGTGTGTGCATGTGCATGGTGGAATCACAAGGGTTTTAAAACAAGAGCATGCAAAACCCATGCCTTACCTGGTTCCTCTAATTTCCTTCCATAGATTTCACCTATGGCAGCTTTGGGTTTGACCTGTTGGTGTTCATCATCCTGTACCATAATCTCATTCCCATCAGCGTGCTGGTGACCCTCGAGATTGTGAAGTATATTCAGGGTCTGTTTATAAACTGGGTGAGTATTCGCATCAGAGCGTTCGAAACCATCTCTTTCAAGCAGTACCTTTGTTTTCTTTCTAAGACCCCTCTGAAGAACCACTCTTGGTTGTCCGCTGCCTTTGAGAGGACTCTACCTGCTGTTGACCTTGCTGATCACAGATCACATTACCTGGTCCCGTGCTAGCTACCTAGCATTTCAGAGGAGTCCTTGGCTGGCGCAAATGGTTAAGCGCTCAGCTGTTAACCAGAAGGTTAGCAGTTCAAAGCCACCCAGTAGCACGCCAAGGACAGGCCTGCCGGTCTGCTTCTGAAAGATCACCGCCTTGAGTCACTGCTTTGGGTCAGTGTGGCTCTGCACGCACGCCATGAGTTGGAATCAACTCTACACAGCTGGCTTGCCTTTATTTCATTTTTACAATAGGCCAGAGCACCTGACTGACCCCTGGTGCTCTCGCCAGTCAAGCCCAGCCTGGGTGCTCACCTGGGCCTCTCTGACGTACGCTGAGGTCACCTTTGTCTCCAGGTTTTATTTTGGCTGGCAAGAAAGATGTAAGAGATGATGGTTCCGTATCACTTTAAGTAGAAAGCGACGGGAAACAGTCAATTAAGATCCAGGCAGCTCCACGAGCAGGGCCGCCGTCCAGTAGACTTGGAGGTGGACATGCTGACCAGGATGGCGGACCCAGAGTCTTTCCGGATCGCTCACACTAAGGAGGAGCGCTCTCTCTTGGGTGACAGCCCGGCGCTGATGGCTGTTAGGATCTAATTGGCAGGTGCAGCCGAACGTCTTTGGAGTACAGGCATGGTGTACAACCTGCTGTACGGATCAGCTCCCATGTAGTTTAATCTGTATAGCAGCCTACTAAAGATTATATCTCTATATAAGTGAAAGGGGTGAGCTGATTGGTAAACAGATGAAACCCCTCTGGTGAGGATAGCGGTAAAGTAAAAGAAGAGGAGGAGAAACGTCAAAGCAACGCAATGAGCCGATCGACCCTCCCGTTACCTCTGCAGAAGAACATGAAAGGTCTGTTTGGCCAGCAGGTGCTTGGCATTTCACCCCCACCCCTAAAGAAACCATTATAAAGAGGCTAGTTTCTCAGTCAGTTCACGCAAAAGCCCATTTCAACAGCGAAGGCTATCATACCAGAGCTGCTACAAACAGACTTCTCTCTACTGCCCACGGATGTGCATTCCGAAGCCAGTCTATCTCCCAGGACCCGTTCTCCCTGCACCTCCGCTCTGGCCCCAGCACCAAGGCATCCTCATTGTAGGCAAATCCCTGGGGCCTGCCCCTGGCTGGACCTAGAATTGAAGAGGAAGGAAAATGCTCAGTGGTTGGGACAGGAGGTCACTGCCCGGGAGCACTGCCCTCAAGTCCCACGCTGGCATCTGCGCCATGCCACCTGGCTTGCACCTAGGGCAGAGTGAGAGGCATTTGCCCACTGTATAGCCCATTGTATTAAAATTTCAAGGTACTTACGATATAATAACGAGCAGGCACGGCGTTGCTGCGCACATCAAAGCCTCATTACTGCTATTATCACGGTATGATCCTATTAAAGATGCTTTAGTGGATCTGGAAGTGTCCCCATGATGCTGCCTTTCTTATGCAGGTAGAGGGGCTCCGTACCAGTGTCGGCCCACATGGGCCACACCACACCCCGGAGCGGGATGAGGTGCTGGTGTGATCCGGGGGGTCTGCAAAAGCAGGTGTCTACTCTGGGCTATAGTATGAGAGGTTTTCATTGCCAGAGGAGTGCTGAGTCTCACCCCCCCACCCCCCGAAAAAGAGGGTGATAAGCCAAATAAGTTTGGAAGGCTATGCCCTAAGCCAATGATGAGAAGATAAGGGGGCAGGGAACGAGGGTTCTGGAACCCAAATCACCAGGAGCCAATGAAGGAGCAGGCATCCTCTGCCTCCCTTTATTCTCCCAAAGCAGGGACGAGCAGGCACAACAGAGAACCTGCGCTCCACACCACGACCCACACTCGCCCAGTCACCACGCGTTCTGCACCGTACCCACCTGTTCTGACCTATGCACACGTCTCACTTAAAGGCAAGACTCAGGGGGTTCCGCACCATCCAGGGGTCGCCGTGACTGGGTCCCATCGTGGGAAGAGGGGCCCTTTGAACAGTCACGATGGGTGAGGACGTGCTTTCAAATGCGTCCTCACCCAATTCCCACCCGCGTGCCGTTCGCCCCGTGTGCTCGCTCCATTTCAGGGGTGTCATTGTGTCAGGGGTACGGAGGCACTCCTGAACTTGCTCAGGGGCTCACAGTGAGTCTGTGGCAGAGCCAGGATCTGAAGGCCAAGGCTGCCCCCATCCCAAATCACCACCTCTGCCACCTCTGCCCTCGGCGGCCCTGCCCCTCTGAATGACCTCTCTCAGCGCACTGTGTGTACATCCACAGGTTCTGGGGTCTCCCCGACGTGGGCTCTTCCCACATGGCGGTCGCCTGGAAGATGAGGGTCCTTCACAGAAGGTCCTACACGTCGAACCCCGTGGCTTAGGCTGTGTTGTGGTTTCTTGTAGGACGAAGATATGCACTTTAAGGAGAACAACCTGTATGCCATGGCTCGGACGTCAAGTCTCAACGAAGAGCTGGGGCAGGTGAGGGCCTCTTTCAGGTAGGCGGGAGCTGGGCAGGTGAGGGCCTCTTTCAGGTAGGCGGGAG